AGATTAAAATTGCTTAAATAAGTGGATTAAAAAACCAACTGACAATGCATGCTACTGTTCTTTTTCAAAAGGAAGAACAACCGTGTTGAATACTAATAATAATGTATTAGTATTCGGTGTTTAGAACTGTTGGGTCTACCCATGAAGTGAGCATTTATTTTTGAACTTTCTTGACATTTCCAAGCTTCTTATGAATAATATTGCGATGTGTCTTGGCAGCTGTAGGTGGCAAAGGTGCCCTTTTAAAAAGGAATCTAGGTTTTCAAATGGGCTATGGGGGCACAAGCTGAAGCTTTAGTGCCTTCTACAATGTGGTATACTGTTTTCTAGAATTTTATATGTGCTAGTCATTCTCAATCATATGGAATCTAGAAGGATATTTCACTCATACCCATCAGAGAAGTGTGCAGGTGGTATGTCAGGAGAGCTTCTTACTTATTTCGCCTAACATGAGAAGGAAGTCCTGTTTTCAAGAATGACTATTTAGAGTCGCACAGTTTGGGGACCATCACTTTTATCTGTGATAACTGAAGATGAAACGTGTTCTCATTTTCCTTAAATCAGAGGAAACACTTTAGTTTTCTATATTGGATGGCCTTAATTATAACCTCTCAATTGTCTTTGCATAAATAATGTGCAGAAATTATACTTAAAGGGAGGGTAGGACTATATGGGAAGTTTTCTTTTTTATGTTTAAGGATGTATTTACTTGAGTTTAAGATTCAGGTCATCCATCATTCTTAGGCTCCCATTCTGCAGAAAGTATGCAAATAACAAGATGACAACGTATAACTTGTAGTTTCTGAACTCTTCATTATGGTTATATTTTCCAAAAAGTAATCTTTTAATTAGCATGTTACTAAAAAATCAAGTATAATTATTTTAATACAGTCTAATACAATCAAATTACTCAGTTGCCTTACCTCATAGGAAGAGTTACTTTTATAAATTTAAAAAGCTGGTAACACATTAGTTACTTGGTTTCCACTTGAGTTTTCTTTTAATGTTAGTACTATTGAAACCTAAGTATTTGGTGGAAAATGGAAAGAGTTGCCCTTATTGCAAGTAATGAAGCCTGGTTTGATTATGAAGCTGCTTAATCACTCTTCACGTGTTCAAAATTACTGCTTTTTGTTTTTTCCTTTTTGTCACTGTGTACATTAAAATTTTGGGAAATGCTTTATTATGTAAAGTATAGATGGTCATTTTAATCATTCAGCCACATATGGTTGGCTGGTAAACAGCTTATCTGATACAAGAACGCTTGGGTACAAATGAAAAGCTTGTGAAAGAGTGCGTGTCTTACACCAACAGCTATCTTACTTATGATATGTAGGTAGCATAGAGCTAATGTTTGAATCTTTGCTATTTTTAGTACTATTTCTCTAATAAAGCTAAGTATTTGAGAAAAAAGACATGCACAGGGATGTGCTGCTGTCAAAAAGCCAGGTCACTACAAACACACACCATTTACTTCTCTTGGAAGGGAAGAATGGCTCTTAAGGTTTTGAGAAAATAAACGTTGATGGGTGTTGTTTTTTCAAGAGCAGTTGACTGGTGAGGAGAGTTACCAAATACTGAGGGCTATAGTCTATGCCAAAGATTGCAAAGAAGGAGCCAACATTTCAGACTAAGTATGAATCCTGAGTTACTTTCTTTTAGCAAAACAAGCATCCCCAGGAGTTAGCGGGAAGGCCCTTCAAAACTTAGCTCCTTTTCTACTTTCTCCTCCTCATCCTTCCCCCTCTGCCTCCACTAATACTGTGCCTGAGATTTTGCAGGCACTTAAATAATATTTGTTGACTGAGGGTTGAGCACAGTGGCTCAAGCCTGTAAGGAGGCTCAGGTGGAAGGATCGTTTGAGGACAAGAGTTCAAGGCCAGAATGGCCATCATAGTGAGACTCCTGTCTCTTAAAAAAAGTGAAAAAATTAGCCAGGTGTTGTAGCAGATGCCTGGTAGTCCTAGCTATTCAGGAGCCTGAGGCAAGAGAATTGCTTGAGCCCGGGAGTTCAAGGTTATTGTGAACTATAATAACATGACTATACTCTAGCCTGAGTGACAGTAAGACCCTATCTCTAAAGAAATAAAAATTAAAAAATATGTTTGTTGAGGGCAGCACCTGTGGCTCAAAGGAGTAGGGCGCTGGCCCCATATGCTAGAGGTGGTGGGTTCAAACCCAGCTCCAGCCAAAAACTGCTTTAAAAAATACATTTGTTGAATAAATAAATGAATTAATGAAATGGTAAATACAATCATGTCTTAAATGGACTCACGCTGTCTCCCTCCTCTCCTATATGAAATCCTATACTATGTTGGGCAGGGTGGCTCACACTTGTAATCCTAACACTCTGAGAGGTGGAGGCAGGTAAATTTCTTGATCTCAGGAGTTTAAGATCAGCCTGAGCAAGAATGAGACCCCATTTTCACTAAAAATAGAAAAACTAGCCAGGGCATTATAGTGGATACCTGTAGTTCCAGCTACTCGGGAGGCTGAGGCAAGAGGGTCACTTGAGCCCAAGAGTTTGAGGTTGCTATGAGCATGGAACTCTACCAAGGGCAACAGAGTAAGATTCTGTCTCAAAAAAAAAAAAAAAAAATCCTACATGAAAGATGTAGGACCTAATCAGACCTAAAAGATATCACACATGAGCTCAAGCAGCCTCCAATCTAGAGCAGGGGTTTTCCACTCTGGGTGTACATTAGAACCACTCAGGGAGCTTTCTAAAAACACTGATGCCTCAGCTCCACTCCCAGAAAATCTGATTCAGTTGAATTGGAGTCGGGTCCAAGCTGTGTGTTTGTTTGTTTCCTAATGTGCAGCCCAGGCTGACAATTTCTGGTTTAATCTAACTCTCTCAGAGGTCCAGAGAGTTAATGTCACTTCTCCATGGCCAGAAAGCTAGGAGGTAACAGGCAGGAGATGCACTCCCAGCATCACGGAGTCACGCCAAGCCTTACAGGCTCTTTATCTCATGAGATTCTTCTAACTTCTCAGACTTCCGTTTTTAACATTGAATATCCACTTGAAGAGTTATTAGGCACCTACAATGTGCCAGAGGCCCGGTGCCAGGTATACAGCAGTGAGCAAACAGCAAGTTTCCTCTCACCTTGGCCACAGCAGGAAAAGTCCCTGTGTCTGGAGGCCTTTCTCAATCTGGATCATTCTGTTTCCACTACCTGGTGAGTTTCTTGGAACTAGAGGTCATGAGTTATTCATCTTTGGAACTGTGCCTAGCACAATGCCCAGTATAGAGACAGATTCATTAAATGTTTGGTGAATAAACAAATGAATGCAAATGATTCCTGAAGGCTTTGCATAAAATAAAGAAAACAGAAAGATGTCAAGAACACTGCCTGTTTTAGTTAGGACGCTCTCAATTTTGTATCAGAAACCCAGCTTAAATTTGCTGAAGCAAAAGAGGGTATTTATTTGCTGATAACAGTAAACCTGAAGGTTGCAAAATTCCAGAGTGCAAATGTTCTTACTAGGCCTCTATCTCTGTCCTCAGTTCCCAGCTCCGTTGTCTCCTCTTGGCTTCACTCTAAATCCAGGGCCTTCCCCACCTGACAGGCAAAACGGCCAACCAGCACCAGGTTCATATCCCCTGTTTTTAGTAATCCCAGCAGTGGTCACACATCAATTCCAGTAAGACTCTGATGGCCCTGACCGCCCATCCTGCAACACTCCAGCTGGCCAACCTCGGTGACAAGCCCACCCTGGGGCAGTCAGCAGGACTGTTGTCACCAAGAACACATGAATTGGCAAGAGCCGCTGTTAAGAACCAGAAGAAGACAGGACAGCAGGCTGGACTACCATGGTGTTCTAGGGCTTTCTGTCTTTCTGCCCTGCCCCCCCTCATCCTTACTGGCAGTGAGGGCTTTTGTCCTCATCCATATAACTTCATGGATGCAAGCTAAGTGATCTAAACAGAACGAATGCTTTCAAAAGCAGGAAAAAAAGGGAGAGAGAGAGGAGGGATCCCAGCCTTATCTGTCCCTTTTATCAGGAAAGCAAAAACTTGTCTAGAAATACCCGCAAGAAGACGTCCCCTTAAATATCACTGGCTTGCACTGAGTCGCTGTTACCCACTGGCCTCAAGGGAGGTCAGAAAATAGAGGTAGTTTTAACAAAGCGGAATGGAATTTCACTATCTTACACCAGCCCTGACCTCCCCACCTTCACCCCTCCTGGACACCCCCCGCAGCACCCCGAGCCTCCCTCACCATTCCATCATATGCCCAGTACAGCAGCTGCTCGGTTGTTGTTGTTGTTTTCTTTTTTCCAGCCCCGCCTCTTGCTAGGATTTCTAGAGGCGCCTGTGTCTGTCTGGCCTCCCCAGCACTCAGCAGCGAGGCCAGCTTCGTTCCACCTTCCACCGATGCTCTCTGAGTGACCGCTACGCGCCGGGGCCTGGCAAGTAAGCAGGCAGAGTGAACATTTCCCGGATGGTTGGGGGTGGATATCAGCAGCGTCCGACGGCTCCACCCGGAGCAGCCGCGGCCCCTCGTCCCCTCCCCACCCCTCACGCCCAGGTGTCATTTCACTTTCCTAAAAGCCTTTCCTTTGCTTCTGAAGCCATCAGATGGTGGGATTCGGTCCTCAGGCAACAGCAAGTACTTGCCCTCTTCCCCGCCACCCCGCGTTCAGCTGAATCCTGAATCAACACCAGTCAACTGGGTGTGAACGGAAGGAGACGGCTCATTATTTGCATTATTTACCTCTGAGTGCGTGCATTGCCATTCCTTCCCAGACTCGTACTCTCGCTCGCTCGCTCGCTCGCTCTCCGCCTCTCTGCCTCCCTTCTCTCTTTCTCTCTCCTTAGGAACTGGTTCAACCAGAGTACAAGCAGCTCATCTGCATTAGCCCTAGAGAACCTGCAGGCGCCGGAGGAGGAGCAGAGAGCAGGCGGCGGCGGCGGGCGGCGGGCGGCGGTGCGGCGCGCACACAGCCCGGCCCGCCGCGCCGCCGGAGCAGCCCATGCCCAGCCGGTGCCGCCCGGGGCCCGCTCATGAGGCCTCCGCCGAGCTGGAGGAGGAAGACCCGCGGCCTCTCCCTCGGACTCTTCGCCCTCTGCCTGGCCGCCGCCCGCTGTCTGCAGAGTAAGCTTGGGGCGCGGGGCCGGGGCGCGTGCGGGGCGCGGGGACCCGGCGGGGCGCGGCCCGAGGGCCTGGGGCAAAGCGGAGGCTCCCCCCGGCTTGGGGCCCCGGGCCACTTCGGGGCTCCTGCCCCACCCGGCGAGCCCCGCAGGCAGTTATCGGAGCCGGAAGGCGGCTCGGAGATAACCGGCTCCCTGCTCGGTGGCCGCCTCCTTTGCAACATTCTTTCTTTTTCCTGGAATAACCAGACTGCAACCCCCAAGGGCGCACGGAGCCCGCCCCCTTCTGTGGGCGCCCCTCCACCCTCAGGGCTTCTCGGGTCATCTGTGCACTCCGCACGCCTCCCCGGCCACTCAGACAGGCGGCCAGCTCCTGAGGGAAAAGGGTTCTGGGGATTAGGGGGTGGGTGTTGGGACTGGAATTCCTCAAGCCGGTATGGTCCCTTGCCGCGCTTGCCCATAGCAGATGGCTTTGGGTGACCGTGTGAGTCTGAATATAAAAGCACAGTCCCACAAACCCCCATGCCACCAAGAGCAGGTCATAATGCAGTTCTACTTTCTCCTTTAATCGTTCTCATCTTACAGATCAGCCAAGTGAGGTTTAGAGAGGGACCAGAGCAGGGCCACTGGAGGTGACATAAAAGCCAGCACTTATTAAGCACTTATGTGTTCACCAGCCCGCTCGCTTCACCGGACTTTCATCATTTCATCCTCAGGGCAACCTATGAAATAAGTGTCACTCTTAATTTCTCACTATTCCGCTGTGAGAAAAATAGAGACACAAAAAAGTGTCTCCACTTTTTCAGACTCAAACCGAAAACTCTAACACTCAACCTTTACCCCTCTCTGCCTGGCGTTGCAGGTTGCAAACTTTTGAAACCCAGTAAGACTAGGGCATGTCCTTCTGGCAGTTATAGATCAAGAAACAGCTGGGTGTTAGTCTCTGCAGGTGTGGGGGTGTGTTTGTCATTGCAGTGGCCTTTTTGGTTGTTTTTCAAACCCCTGGCACAAGGCTTCCAGTAACCGTTCTTTTAACCTGCATCTGCAGGTGCCAGCTGTTTGCCACAGCCTATGATGCCATCATGCTCACCCACTGACTGTACCCTTTCCCTGCAGGAAGCAGGCTACAGTGCTTCCTGGGGATATACTGGTTCACAGTTTTGTCCTCAGGAAGCTTAGGGTCTCACTGGGAAGAGAGACAAGCAAACAAGATTGCCAGCCTTGGAGTGGCTAGCCTTCAGAGGCAAGAGGTGCCCCATTCTGAGAGCCCTGGAGGCTCAAAACCCTGACTTGGGAAATCAGAGCAAACCTCCCTCAGGGAGGCCCACCTACCCAGACCTAACATATGGATAGAGCAGCCGGGAGAACCGGACAGAGGAAGTGAGGGCCAGAGGAAGTGAGGGCGTCCCAGAGACCACAGCCTGTGCAAAACCTGGGGACAGGTAAGAGTTTGCTGTTCTCTGTAGACTCTGTCTTCTGCACAGTTGCACACACTCATTTCAGCTCTGGATCTCTAGCACTTGTCCAGCACTAGCCAGGATCTGCACCTTAGAAGGGGTTGAATGAACAGGTGCCTGCCCTAATGAGGCCAGGGCCTCTGTCAAAAGCTTCTGTCTGGCCAGGTGTGGTGGCTCATTCCTATAATCCTAGTACTCTGAGAGGCTGAGGCAGGAGGATTGCTTGAGCTCAAGAGTTCAAGACCAGCCTGAGCAAGGGACTTCATCCCTGCTAAAAATAGAAAAAATTAGTCAGGTGGCATACGCCTATAGTTCCCTGTTGCTCAGAAAGCTGAGGCAAGATGATTGCTTGAGCCTGGGAGTCTGAGGTTGCTATGAGCTAGGCTAATGCCATGGCACTCCAGCCTAGGCAACAGAACAAGGCTCTGTCTCCAAAAAAAAAAAGAAGAAGAAGAAGGCTCTGTCCAGACACTGAAGTCTGTGTTAAAGCATGCCCACAAACATAGACCCCCTGTGCTTGAAGTCTTTCCTCTATAAATGGCACTGTTACAGACTAAATGTTTGAGTCCCCCCAAGATTTATATATTGAATCTCTAACATCCAATGTGATGATATTTGGAGGTGAGATCTTTGAGAAGTAATTCAGATGAAGTCATGAAGGTGGGGGTCCCCATAATGAGATTAGTCTCCTTATAAGAAGAGAGAGACCAAAGCTTTCATGCGTTCTCTCTTCCTCTGCCTTGGGAGGACACAGCCGGAAAGGAGCTGTTAGCAAGCCAGGACGACCCGCTCCCCAAACTGAATCTGCTGGCACCTGATCTTGGACTTCCCGGCCTGTCTGTGGTTAAAGCCACACTGCCAAGTACATAGCAATCTATTATAGTGATCTGAGCTGACTAGGACAAGAACTTACAGGCTTGTCCCCTCAGACAGCTGGCAGCCCTCCCCAGCAGGCCAGGGTGCAGCACCCTTCTAGAGTCCTTATTATTGCCTTTCCCATTAAATTAGCTCTCCCTACACATACCCAGCACTCTCCCCCTTATTTGGAAGCAGATGATCCAAGGCTATAGTAGTAGGACTGTTTAGTTAATGGCCTGGGCCCCAGGCAGCTTGCCCCCCTTGTTCCCTTGTCTCTAAGCAACAGCCAGCTCCCCCAAAACACACTCGTGCGTGTGCATCCTTTAACAGGGTGGGGCCAGGACCTGAGGAAGTGGCCCCAATGAGTCACTCATGGCCCAGTCCCCAGGAAAATAGAGGAACAGGGTTGGGGCTGAGTCTGAGTCTGAGGAGGGAGTAGACAGACCCAGAGCAGCCACAATCAGAAATGGAGCTATGGGTTTGGGCTTAGCTGAGGGTGCGGTGCAGAAGGGAAAGGAGCCAGCATAGGAGGAATCCCCTTGAGGCCCCTGGGGAGACTTTTGGATCTGTCACCCCAGATGCAGTCTCTGTGTACACACATTTACAGAGCATCTCCTATGCGACACAGGGCTCTGTGTGCTGGCCCCTGACAAAACAGAGATAAACCAGGTGTGATCCCATTCTTCACCAGCCTTTTCAGAGAATAGTTTTACATATACACAAATGTATGCACTAGCAAAAAGTGGGTTTTCAGTGTAGTTTTTAAAAATGCCATCAAGAGCCCGGGTCAGCTAAGCAATAATGACAACTGCAACAGAAAAATAGCTGGGAATCGTGGCGGGCACCTGTAGTCCCAGCTTCTTGGGAGGCTGAGGCAAGAGAATCATTTAAAGCCCAAGAGTTGGAGGTTCCTGTGAGCTGCGATGCCATAGCACTCTACTGAAGGTGACATAGTGAAACTCTGTCAAAAAAAAAAAAAAAAGGAAGGAAGGAAGGAAATAAATAAATCAGTGGCTTTGCTATAGTCTCTTTTGGCCTGGACTGAAGTCGAGCCCTTGCAGAGAGGATGTGTGTTGCTTCTTCCAGTCACTGGTGCCATCCTACATGGGGAAACAGAAGCAGCTCCCTAGAGAAGGTGAGGTTGAGTCGTGAAAGACTAACAGGTGTATACAGCAGGACAGGCTGGAGAAGAGGACTGTAGGCACAGCCGGTGCTTACAAAACAGCTACACTATTCCTCCGGGGGCCTGGCAAGGGAAGAGAGAGTGGGTGTTGCCCTAGCATGCCCCTGCTAGGACTTAGCCACTGCAGCCCTCAGAGGCCCCTCTGACCCTGGAGCCCACAGCACGTGCATTCAGCATGCTGCTCTCCCTGCACCTGGGTTTCCCTGGGACACAGGCTTGGAGTAAGGAGGTCCTTACTACCTAGCAGGAATGGGAGTGGTGGTGGTGGTGGGGAGG